ACAAAGGTATGTTACCAGGCCCTTTGGAAGAGCTGAAAGTCACTGCTTTCTGGGGATTGCTCACAGGACAGTCTGTGACAGCTGCTCCACTTGGGGTCACCCCCCAGGTTAGGGTGATTTTGTATATAGCTATTTTGAGTTTGTCTAGGTCTGGGAGATGTTCTTATCTTCAATATAGTTCTATGACCCTGTACATGTGATCTTGATCCTTTTTGTTGTAGACAGAATGCCAAGGTCTATAGATGACAATGGACTGGGTACTTTTTTAATGCCAATTTTTAATGTTTAAGCCATTAAGCCAGGAGTTTGATTGACACAGAGCAAAACCAACTAAAAAGAAATTGGAGCCAGGCCTGGATTTAGGTAAAATTATGAAGAAGGAAGTTTCTTCTGGATAACCTTACGGATTTTTTGCCCAATATGGTGTCTCCTTTACTTCCTACTTTTAGGGCCTGACGCCTTTATTGCTTATGTCTTCAAAGTCTGTTTGCAAGAAAGGATATGATAAATTAATTTATGCTAAGATATGAATGGTTTAACAAGTGCTATCACCTTGAGACAAATGGGTATTTAAAAATAGATTTTCTATTTTATGTTTATTATCAGCGAGTCAATACAGAACACCTGTAATGATCAGTTACATGTGGATACCAACTGTTTTTTCATTAAATACAGAGCGCCAGTCTTTTCTGGCCAATTCTGATTTTCTCCAAACAAGAAAACCAAACATAATACAATTTCAGGAGATGGTAATACCATCAGCATGATCCATTCAAATTGCAGAACTGGCAATACTTAACTTAAAATCATGTAAATTATTTGACCATTTCATAAAATTTCTTGTTGGCCTTCTGAAAACTTTTCAAGTATAAAAAGATCTCAAAATATGTGTGATAAAACTGAACTACAAAATCCACTTTGGAAAACTAGGGAGTTATTTTTCTGATTTTGGCTTTAAGATTTTTCAAAATCTGTTAAAAAGAAATAAAGAGGAAAGTGTGTTGAGAGAGGTGAAGAAAAAGAAGCTTCCAGCTGATAGACTTAACATGTCTGAAAATATTTCAGTAATGTAAAGGAAAAACTTCAAGAGCAAGAATATATTACAATTAAGAGCGTTTCAGCAAGATTAAGAGATGGGCAGTTCTTGTATTAACTGCTCCCATAGGAGAGAGGTCTTCCTGAAGAATACCAGTTTATAGAATCCTCAGTAAGATAGAGCTGGCTATCTCCAGTGATTTATCTTTCACTAAAACCATACTTTTTCTAAAAGCTCACCCACTCCATCAGTTAGATATCCAGTTTTTAGGATGTGTTAAACACCGGCTACTCCATCTGCCATTCTTAAGTCTCCTTGGGAGTCTCTCAGCGGAGTTAAATTATTATTGTCCTTTAATTGATTGAAATATTCTGTGTTCTTCAAGGTATCATCATGTTTGTTAAATAGATAGGTTAATTCTCCTTTAAATTCTTTGAGAACACATTCTCATCAAAATCCATGAATGAACGCTACTTTGACATTTGGATGACAGACACCAGCTTGATGGATAACATCCTTAAGCACGTCACCATTATTGGTCGAAAATATGAACATAGGGATATGGTGTAGTTAGAGTTTCTCAAATATATTCTTATATCCCTCCTTCAGCATAACATCAGTTTCTTCCACAGTTCCTTTAAATTTAGCTTTTGCTAAAGGTTATTCGACAAGGAGACTCTGTGAACTTAGCATACCATTCTACCATAAAAGGGTACTTTTATGGTAAAAACAAGATCACTTTGATAGCATTGTCTTTTTCCTTGAGTTGCAATAACTTTTTTTTTTTTTTTTGCGGTACGCGGGCCTCTCACCGTTGTGGCCTCTCCCGTTGCGGAGCACAGGCTCCGGACGCGCAGGCCCAGCGGCCATGGCTCACGGGCCCAGCCGCTCCGCGGCATGTGGGATCCTCCCGGACCGGGTCACGAACCCACATCCCCTGCATCGGCAGGCGGACTCTCAACCACTGCGCCACCAGGGAAGCCCAGAGTTGCAATAACATTTTTTGACATTCATTTGTAACCAGCTTACAGTTCTCAATAATATTATGACATGTTAGGCATCTTTCCCTTTGTAGGAAAATCCTTACTGTCATATAAAAGTCCATAATTATCTGGTTTGGCAGCTCCTCTTTTGACAATATCACAGGTAATTTCTGGTACTCTTATAGGGTTCTTGAGGCAAACTGAACTTTTCTAAAATTCTGGCATGATTTTTACATGTACAGACTTTATATTGAGTAACCAATCTTCCTTAAGACACTCTGAGTTCTGCCCTTAATTTTGTCCTAGAACAAAGGCATAGGGTGGCAAGCAATAATCACAGATGCAGGGCTTGGACACAGAGATGTCACTGATCTTGGTCTTCTGCCCCAACTTTTCCTTCAAGGGGAATATATACTGTGTCAGCATCACCTCTTCCATCAGGATGCAAATACTGGCACCAGCTACTGTGTCCATTCTTGCCATGATCACTTAGTCCATAAATGGGACCCCCTTATGCTCTTCCTAACAAAGATGACATTTACGAGCTTTGGAAGTGTGGGGCTTGTGTACTAACTGTGAAGAACATGGAGCCCCCAGAAATTGGTATTTTAACAGAGGATCGAATTTTAAATCAGAGGACTAAATCTTTAATTTGAGGCTGACCTAATGAGGAATTAGGTGACAGAATGGGAGCAGAACAGTGTTTTAGATAAAAGGAAAATGGAAAGAGATGTGATCTGAGACATATAAGATTTTAGAATTTGAAGATAAGAATGGTGAGTTTAGAGAGTCAGCATCCTGACCAACAGGGAACGGAGGGACTGAAGAGATTATGGTGCAGCCGGACACAGGGCCCAGCATCGTTGTAGGTCCTGGCATTGCTGTGTCCCTGCCATTGACCCTCAACTCCTCAACTCTAGCTTCTCCATCACCCTCTGCCTATGGAAAGTAAAAGGGGTTGTTATGAAATTATTAGGCACAACTACCAGGAACTTGAGGAGAAACAGTCAGGACCAAGGACAGGATAAGAAATGCACTTGTAAGATTTAAGAAGAATACATAAATTTTGAAGAATATGGGATGCAAGGTCAAAGAAGAGAATAAAGACCTCATGTGAGATCGATACGACGTACTCTGAGGCCTGTGTGTCTGTGTGTGTGTGTGTGTGTGTGTGCGCGTACATGTGGTGACAGTGAACTTGATGATTTTGGTAATGGGATAAATTGGAGGCTTAGGGACTCATGGAGACTCGTATCATTTTTCTGCTTGCCTAACTTAGACAGACAAGCTGATTTCAATGTGGCTTTAGGCTCTACTGGGCCAGATGGATGGCAGGAAAAACCAGAAAGAAAAAAGTAATTAAGCTTCAGTTTTCTCCTCCATGGCCTGATCACCTGTGTCAGGATGAAAATGTGTCCCAGGTTGTTATTAAGCTCATACATTTTGGGTATTTAGAAGTTCAGATTTGGTATCCTCATTTCATAGATGGTTACAGTAAAATATGCGTTACTGTTCTAGACTGAAGGAAATATGGAAGCTGAACTAGGGTTAGATCCCAGCACTCTTGAATTGCAGCCAAGACCTCTTCAAGTTAATAAATAACAAAATAACAACAAAAGAATATATTAAAACATACACTAATAAATTTATTGTAAATGCAATGTACTCAGAACTTCCTTGTGACATCCAAATATATATGAGCTATACAAAATGCATGTATAAGCAAATATCCCATAGAATGTGTTCATAAATAGCAAGGGCCCTAGAAACACTGCTAGTGGGTTTATTTCACTAGAAATCCATCCATTATCATTCTTTTTTTCCCTCTGAACATTTCATAAATCTATTGAAATAAACATACTGGAAGAAAAAAATCCCATTACCAATGCCTGACACGAATCTTGCCAAATGCATCATCTAATATTGGATGTCATACTGCAGTCCAATCCAATGAGTAGAAACATGTTTCAAAAACAGTTTGGGACTGAGCAATCAATATTAACTCGTTGGATCCTAATGTGTTTTTGTGAATGATTATAAATAGAGCAACTCACTGTGGGGAATTTTTTCTCTAAGCTTATGGATGAAAAATGGCAAATGGTTAACAAGATCTTCTTGCATAAATAAAAAAGTGGGTTTTCACTGCCAGGAAAAAAAATTGTTGGGTTTTAGAGTCCCTTCCTAGATTTCACAATTTCTAAGGCTATTTTTATGGTAAGAATGATAAAGAGATGTCTGAGGATAGATGAAGTTTTCAAGTGGGGAAGGACAGAAAATGTGAAGGATTACAATAGTTCATTTCACTATGAAATCTATTGAAAAGACCAAGAATATACTTGTGTAAATTAGGAAGCACTTTCAAGCAAGACTCTTTCAATTTTCTAGTTTCTGGGGCAAAAAGTACCTTGGGTGGCCTCTATGCCATTGATCTATATTGATGGGATGCACGGGGTAAAAAGGATTTTATTCTGGGCACACATGCTATTGTAATAACAATTTAAATAAAAGAAATAAATAAAAAGCTCAAAACTTTCAATTAAACAGATCATTTCTTTTCACTGTGTGTGTGTGTGTTTTCTTCCTTGCCCAAATGTACACATACCTTTTCAATCATTCAACAAATATTCGCTGAGCACCTACTGTTGCCTGCCACTATTACAGATGTTAGAATACTACAGTGAACAACAGAAAAAGGTTTAGGTCCCTGTTCTTGTGTATCTTACATTCTAGCATAATTTCAATAGACAATCAAATAATTCAAATAAACAAAGGAAAACATCAGATGCTAATTAAAACATGGGATAATTTATGTGCAATCATAGCATAAATTTAAGTTGGAGTTCAGCTTTTTCCTATAACGTTGTCCAATAAATTTTTATCCCCATTGTCACATGATCTACCTTCCCTGTAACCAAGAAGTATTAATTCATTTATTGATTCAACAATATTTGTTGAGAACCAACTCAATACCATGCACTATCTCAGGCACTGTGGATACAGGTAAACAAACAAAACAACACTCTCATGGAACTTTCTTGTATTATAGTATCAAGAATAAAGGGTGACAACTAGTGTAGGTAGAGTTTCAGCATAGTTTATTATAAACAACTCAATTTTATGTTAACATCAATTTTATGTTTAACATAGGATAAATGTTAATCTATTAAGTATGAACTTTCATCCCCAGTCTAATGCTTTTTATTATCATTTAATATCTGATTGGTAAAAAATTCCCAGCTTCTACCCTTTTCTATGTAGCTTAGTACATTTTGGCTATTGTTTTGTTTGGCTTCATAACATCCATTGAGTTATTATCTCATCCTACCCCAAACTCATACACACAGATTTTGGAATTATTAAAAATAACACTATAAATATTTACTCCCCGTCCCATCCCTTGTATGCCCATTCAAAAGCAAACGCTGTTCTGAATGTTGTCTATTATTCGCTTACTTATATATATTTTAAATTTTTATCACTTATTATGTCTAAGCCATATAGTGTTTGGTCGTACTTTCTTTTAATCCTAGAGATTATCATGGTAAGTGAAGTAAGCCAGCCAAACATCAGAGAAAGACAAACATCATATGATATAGCTTATATGTGGAATCTAAAACAATGATACTAGTGAACTTATTTACAAAACAGAAATAGACTTATAGATGTAGAAAACAAACTTATGGTTACCAAAGGGGACGAGAGGGGAGGGATAAATTAAGTGTTTGGGATTAAAATATACACACTACTATATATAAAATAGATAATCAACAAGAACCTACTGAATAGCACAGGGAACTATACTCAATATCTCATAAAAAATATGAATGTGAAAAAAGAATATATATTTATATATATCTGAATCATTTTGCTGTATACCTGAAGCTAACACAACATTATAAATCAACTTTATTTCAATAAAAATTTTTAAAATTTTTAAAAATAAAATTTACTTTAAAATATCATTCCATATATTGTCACTTGGCATTTACTTTTTTGACTCAATACAGTGTTATTAAGATTCATTCATGCTGTCACACGTGGCTGCCATTCACTCATTTTTCATTGCTCCATAGTATTTTATGATATGACTATATAACAGTTTATTTATCCACCCTCCTAACTATGACCATTTAGATAATTTACAGGTTTTTTTGTTATTATGAGTAGTGTTTTCCCCCTAACGTTTGTGTACATATCTCCTGGACACATGTAATAACTTGTTTTTTTGGGGGTATCTATCTTGGAGTAGAAGTGTTGAATTGTCTGCTATGAAACTCTTCAGCTATAAAGCATAATGCTTAAGTGGTGGAAAGAGATGGTACCAATTAATACCCTCACTAGCAACACATAACAAATTGTATTAATCTACATCTTATATAACACTTGGCAATTCCAGACTTAATTTTTGCAAGTTGATTATGTGGAAAATGACTTCCTGAGCTTAGTCTTCACTGGCATGTCCTGATTGTTAGAGAGGCTGAGAATCTCTAGATGTTTTCTAGCTACTTGTGTTTCATCTTTTGTGATGTGCCTATTTGTTCATTTCCTACTGCTTTTTGTCTTTTTAAAACTTGGTTTGTAGGCATTCTTTATATATTTTTGATATAAAGTTTTGAACCTTTGCTAACTATATATTCTTGATCCTTTTTCAAATATGTGTGGCAAATATCTTCTCCCAGATTATAGTTTGCCTTGTTTTAAACTGTCTTTAAGGAGTCTTTTGATGAAAAAAATTTTCTTAATATTATTGTATTCTAATTTTTCAATTGTTTTTATGGCCTTGTGTCTCTTCTTTAAGCCCTTTCTTACCCCAAAGCCAGGAAGAAGTTCACCCTAATTTTATTACATGTTTTAATATTTAGCTTTTTGACACAAATATCTTAAACTACATGGAGTTTATTTTTGTGTACTGTGCATGGTGGGAGTGCATTGTAACATGTTTTTCTTATAAAAAATCAACGTTCCTGGGTCCACTTGCTGAACAGTCTCTTCTTTTTACGGTACTCTGCATGCCACCTTCAACATACATCTAGGTTACACTGCCTTATGGATCTCTGTGTGCTCTCTCTTCTGATACTGCCTTTTCATTTCTGTGTTTGGGTACTGAGTTCATGGGTGTCTATTATATTAACGTATTTGCTGAGAGAATTGTGTTACATTAAATTATAGAACGTCATGCCCAGACTAAGAATGAAATCGTGTCATGAATTAAAGATTGTGATTAATCGAAATCTGTGAACCTGACATCCATAAAAGAGATAAAATAAATAAATTATGCTCAAAGAGTGATATTACGCAGGTTCCTTTTCTCTCTTTGATTTACTTCCTAAGGACAAGTTCCTTAGGAACAGTGAGATGACTGACTGAGCCAGTGGGTATAAAAGACTTTTAGAGGTTTTCAATGTACAACTTAAATGCTTTTTAAAAGGGACATACACATTTACTCTGTGGCAAAGGGCCCGGGAGTTAAATTCAGAAGTCCTGCACCTGTGGCATCCAGGTTTCTCTTCGCTTTAGCCACATCCTTTGCTGCTTCCCACCATGCTGATCTTTGTCTTGTACCACTAAGAGGCAGTATATTTCCTTTTCAAATCCTGTCAATACCGGCTAAAGCAGCATCAGCAGACCCTGCTGCTACTTGGTCAGATGACAAGTAACAAACCATTTCTGTGCCTCACACTGGGCTCTCTCTTTCCGTTTTTTTTTTTTTTTTAGTGATATGCATATTCTAGCTAGTTCCCTCTTTCCCCAGATCTACTGATAGTTTGCTTTTTTATCTCTACTTTACTCAGATGTTGCCTTCCTCAGTAAGGCCTTTCAAGACCACTCTATTTAGAAGGGCAGTGCCCCCTCACCTTTGATTCTCATGTCTCCCTTCTCCGCTTTATTTTTTCGGTAGCACTTATCACTATTTGTCTGTCTCTCTTCCACCAGATTTTGGAACTTAGGTCTGTTTTGTTTACAGATCTATCCCTAGCAACTACAACAATGCTTTAAAAATTGTCAATGCCTTGTAAATAGTTGTTAATATGATTATAAACAAATCACACAGTAGCTGTTCAATATATGTGTTGGGTAAATGAATGAGGCCCAGAGTACTCCAAGGGACTCACAGTTACACTTACAGTATTTGGCGTCTTTTCCACTGGAGGTCCAGGAGTAGTTGAAGCCTCAGGTAGTCAGGTCGTAATTGCTGGCTGAAAGACAAACTTTCAGAATTCCACTTTCTTGCAAGGCTGTAATTTAATTTTACTTTGATGTGCTGAATTTTTAAACTATATGACTTTGGGGAAATCTGAAATTGAAAATATGCTTTGCTACACAGGAACACTGGCTGGCATAATAAGCAAAAGTCTGTAGTTCATGTTTAATGCCAACTTGTCACTGAGTTTCTTTCTTTTTCTGTTCTTGTCACCAACTCAGATCATTGGGAGTATTGTCAAGATTAACATTACCTTAAAAATCCCATGACAAATGAAAAATACAGTATAATAACAAATCACCAACCCATATTTTTAAGATTACAAAGATTGGCATATCAATATAGAGTCACCAGATTATAACTTGCCACAGAGTAACTCAAAACAAAAATATCAACATCAAATGAAAAAAAGATAGCATTTTGCCCAAACCTCAATATTATCATAGCTGTAGTGTTGTGTTGTCTCTTTTAAGTCACATGAGGAAAGCCTTGCTATACTCACTTTGAGCACTTGGAGGGGTGACGTTTGGAGTCGATGTAGTCACATCTACAAGGGCTGTTGAAGATGGAGCTGGATCACCTACTTTGAAAAAATATTCCCAAATTGTCATAGGTATTTACTTTCACATGTTTAAATATGCCACTATGCTTAACAAGGGTGGCACGCAGAGCATGGAGTGTTAAAGAGTTGGAAAGAATCTTAGTGAATACATACTCTAATGGCTTCATTTTATAAATTATGAAACTGAGTTCAAAAGTTCTATGCTTGTGGTTATACACCCAATATTCACACTTTCAAAATATGTTGTTTTAGCGTCTACTGCGTGCAAGACTATTCGACATGCAATGAACAATGAAGACAAGGTCCTCACCCTCATGGAACTTATCTTGTAGTGAATCTTCACAATTGTATATAATAGTTTCACATACTAAATATGGTTTCATATTTACTTCAATTCTTAGCTTTCAAAATCATCTCCATCTTTATAAGCTATCATAATTCCCATTCTCCTCCCTCCCTTCCCCCCAAAATGAAAGACTAATTCATATTCATTTGAAAATATCTCTGGATATAAAGCAAGGTAGATTGAAGAAGAAAAATACCCTACCACAGCACACTGAAACATGTTGATATGTCTCTAGGGAAGACAAATCTTTAATAGAATTTTTATTTATATGTATTTCTTCTTTGTTCCAAAACATGTTCATGGTGGCTTACATAAATATGCAAGTGCAAGAAGATAAAAGAAGTGGATAGAAAGAGAAAACAAGGGCAAGGAAAAATGAAGTTAGAAAAAGAATGTTGAGTTTTGTTGAAACCTGACTGGGGATATTACATAAAATGCATTTCTGGATGTAGTGTTCTCTTAGTAGATATGGACTGCACATTTGGTCAGAACTTTCTAGTAACAATGCTAAGAAATAAAAAGTATATGTTATGCCATTGGACTTCCCTGGTGACGCAGTGGTTTAGAATGTGCCTGCCAATGCAGGGGACACGGGTTCGATCCCTGGTTTGGGAAGATCCCACATGCCGCGGAGCAACTAAGCCCGTGCGTCACAACTACTGAGCCTGTGCTCTAGAGCCCATGAGCCACAACTACTGAGCCCACGTGCTGCAACTACTGAAGCCTGCACGCCTAGAGCCCGTGCTCTGCAAAAAGAGAAACCTCCGCAATGAGAAGCCCATGCACCGCAACGAAGAGTAGCCCTTGCTCGCCACAACTAGAAAAAACCTGCACACAGCAACAAAGACCCAACGCAGCCAAAAATAAATAAAATTTTAAAAAAATCAAATATCTATAAATAAATATATATATATAAGTGTATGTTATGCCATTGATGAACACTATAAGATAAATACAGTCAATTTGATGAACATTATAAGATAAATACAGTCAATTTTAAGAGAAACACAGCTATTCTTTTTATTATGATTAAAAAAATTTTCTCCCCAGTCTTTATAAAAAAGATACTATAAAATGTGTACAATATTCTCAACAATATCCTTACAGTATGGCAGCCAATATGCTCATTCACCCTCAAGCTTTAGTTAGTAGTGAACAGCCTGGCAACTTCCCAGGTACCTCGATTCTGGGAAAGGGCATGCCTTAAATAGAAAACACGGGTAATCAAATCTCTGAAAGAAGTATATATAAGATAAATAAATAAATGGCATTGTGGTTCATAAGAAGCTCACATAAGAGATGACCAACAACAATCGTTCTACAATGTAGCCTACCAATGAACACCAAAGACATACCACCCACCAGCTCCATGAACACAGTTAGATACGGGGAGATGTGTTATAGGCTGCCTCACGTGATGCTGTATGAGGAATGAAAATGGGCAGCCAGCAGCAGGATGGGCAGAAAAAAGTGTTTTAAAGACAGGATATGCACAGCTTCATTTATCCAACAAATACTTATCGAGTTCCCACTATGTACTAGTATTGGAGACAAAGTGCAGAGAATGAGAGTTTTTGCCCCTGCCCTTATGGAGTATACAATTTAGTGAGAATAAAGGTCAATATGGCAGATTACTGGTTGGCCACCAAACCCAGTCCTCTTCTTTCTGGTACAGAGAAACTACACTTCCTAGCCTCCTATGCAGTTAGGTGTGGTGGCCATGTACCAAGTCCCAGGCAATGGACTGTGAGTGGGAGTGATGGTTGTCACGTCAAGGCTTGTCCTATAAAATATCCCACATATGATCCTCCATGATCTTCTCTCACGTACTATCCAGGTATTATGACATAGAGTGACTTGGAAATCACAACTTAAATGTGATAGGGCTGCCACAGCATGGGTTACAGAACAGAGCACTCAGCTACTTGCTTGTCCTTTTATTGGTTCTTTCTGTTAGGATAAATAAATTTGTATTATATCAAGTATAAACAAACAAAATGAAATGTTGCAATTTGTTGTTACTGTAGTTTTTCTTTCCCTCACAAATAGTATAAAGAGAATTGCAGTAGAAGATAAGTACTATGGTAGAGAAAATGCACTGTGCTGTGGGATTCCAGAGGAGGAACACATAAACAACGAAGACATGTGAGCTCAGCGCTTTCTGGAGGAAGTGACGTATCAACTAGGCTTGAAGGGTGACAAGAATTAGCCAGACAATTTGGAGAAAGGGGGCAAGCAAGGAGCAGAATATTCCAAGCAGTGTGGACAGAAAAGGTGGGAGAGAACTGAAGCCCGATCAGAATGTTGAAGGCACTCTGTGAGAAGAACAGGGACGAGGATAGAGAAGTAAGAAGAAGCTACATCCTTAAGATTCCACGGAGGAATAATATCCAACTAGTCCTTAACAGATGCTCTGACCCCAGGGTAAGTGAAGGGTGGCCTGGACTATAGCGTGAAGGCTGTGGGGAAGAAGAGAAGTGGACAGGTTTCAAGTGTGGGCTCTACAGGCTTGGTAAATGGCTGAATGTAGGAAATTAGGAAGAGAGAGAAGTCAAAATAACTTCCAGTTTTCCAGCTTGGGCAGATTTTTGGATCAAGGCATCATTATCTGAGAAAATAAACAGAATAAAATAGCTTTGGAAGGGCAAGAGGCACGAAGATGAAATAAACTTTGGACAGATTGATTCTGAGTGCATATGAGACATTCAATTCCACAGGGTTGAGCATGTGAGTCTGAATCTTAGGAGTAAAATTAGGCTGCAAATGAGTATTTGTGAGACATCAGCATGTAGATAGTAATTGGAGTAACTGAGAGCGCCAAAGAAGATGGGTCCTGGCAGAAGAGAAGAGGGCCTAGCATGGAACAGTGAGGACCACTTCCATGTAAGGTACTGGCAGGAGAAAAGGAGATTGAAAAGGAGGACCCCAGGGAGGCAGGAAGAAAGCCAGGGGCTATGGCTTAGAGAAGCCAAGGTGACAGAGGGTTTCCAGACGCAGGGCCAGTCAGTCCAATTCAGCAAATGTTTGTGAGTGAGCGCTATGTGCCAAACGCTGGTCACTGCAGTCAAATGCTACCAAGAAGACAGATTCCCTTCTAGCTCTTACCTGCTAGGAAGTCATTGTATTAGACTTGCATACAAAGCCTAAGAGACAGATTTGGAAACCACTTGGAGATGGGCAAAAGCAGTGTAGCTTAGCTATTAAAAGCATGAATTCCAGAGCCAGATACCATGAGCTGAAGCGTCGCTTAGTTCTAAGTTAAATGTATGATCTTGGTAAAGTCTATGGACCTGTCTCTCTTTCTTGTATTCCTCGTGTCTAAAATAACAGTACTTTTCTATAGGGTGACTGTGATGATTGAGAAATCATCACTTGTATGAATTCTCATGGAAGAATGCCTGGCATGAGGTAAGCACTAAAAAGTAATCTTAGAAGTTATATGACAGGTCATCTGCCGTTTAGTTCAGGTGCTGAAAACACAAGCATATCGTAGCAATAGACGAATCTCCTGATGAGTTCTACCATTGATCCACTTTCCTTGGTCTTTCTAGAAGGACTCTGATTCCAGGTAACCAATCCCTCCCTCCCCAGGCTGGCCCAAGTCAAGAACTACATTCCAAAAGGCTGCACCAGAAAAGGGCTGTCTGGGGTGAAGAGAACGGCAGCGTGCTGGGCATTAGCTCTCTGATGGCATACTGATGCCTACTGGCAGAGTCACCTGCAGCTCTCCTCTTCCACCTCACTGAGCCCCCGTGGCTCAGATTCTCGTGCAGTCACTGTAACTTCCAGCTCACCGCCTCCTACTGCTCATCAAGACAAATGGCAGGAAAAAATGCACCAAAAGACTGGCGGCAGGATACACGAAGTAGCTGTAGGGCAAGCTCAGATTGTCTCAAACTGAGTATTGGGATAACATTCCTGGACACCCCAGAACTGCTCTTAGGGAATTGAGCCCTGGCGTTCTCCCACTGGCCCACCCTGGCCGGCAGTCGAATAGCAAGGAGGTCAGCCGCTGTTCACTCCCTGTGAGCATTTGGCTGGCTGTGCTCCACCACGCCCTCTAGAGGAAGGCCCAGGAAGTCTCTGCATCAAGAGCAGCTGTGCTTCTCCTCTGCAACTGGCTCATTACGATTTTAAGAACCTATGGATCACAGAGTGAATCTGAATTTCTTTCTCTCATCGAGATGGCTTTATCTTTGTCCCTCTTTGCAATAATTTCTTCAGTTATCTATTTTTTAAATTTTGTAAGTTTACCTCGTAACCGTACAAGACAAAGTAAAAAATGCGTAGAAGAAAACTAGCCATAAGTAATCATTGGATACCGTGGGATACTGAGAGATATGATGTGCTCCTCCTAATTAATATAGGAAGAAAAGGTGAAAGAGGAAGTGAGGAGGGGAAGGGAAAAAGAACAAAGACTATCCACGTTTTAAACAATTCTCAGAAGGATAAAAGAAAGAATTATCCTTTTACTCTGGAACTCTGTTCCCTGTAGAGGAGAAAGTGTGGCTTTCATTGTCAGTCATAGTCTCATCAGTCATAGTCTCATCTCTTATCTCCCTTCCCATGGGCAAGCATCATTCATTCTTCCTCCCTCCCCCACTCTCTTCCTCTCACTGGGAGAACTGACCTTCACAGTGTTCACCAAGTGACTTAGTAAGTGAAAGCAGAAAGGAATGGTTTTACAGTGGTGATACGTCATAACAATGGTGACGATGATGATGAAGAAAAAGAACGAGGAAGCAAAAATCAGAGAACTTTGTATTTATTTGTGAGCTACCACCATCACCTAGAAATCTCAGTCTAATATGCAACTGCCAGCCACCTTTGAAAATATTTTTTACTTAGAAGGAACAGACATTTTCCAATTGCCCACACTGGGTGCTAGCACTGATTAGTAACATATGATTTAATCCTGGCAGGATTCACTGGAATCCTGATGAAGTATGATAACTGGGAATTTCATTTGTATTAAAAGGACTGTTTAAATGTTCTCTTCTAGAGGTCAGAAAATAATGTGACATAAATCCTTACTTACTGCAGATTTACTGCAGGGGAAGAATTCATTCGTTTGATTCCATCTAGCGAGTGTTGTTCCTGGACCATGGGAAGAGGAACACTGCCTCGGGCATGAATGCTGCCTTGATCTTTGCCTCACTCTGTCTCTTGCCTGGTTTAGATAACAGCTCTGCACTTCCTCTCACAGGCAGGCCTGTGGAGTTTGTTGAGGGCTGAATCAGTGCCATAGCTTCTGGGAACAAAGGGATCAATGACAGCTATCACTATCTTGAGGGAGCCCAAGGTCATTTCAGTCTTATTCGTCTCCAGCTGAATTTTGTTTTGGTCTTGGCCTAAGGGTCTGTGCCAAGTTGCATAGGTTATTGAAAGAATGATCCCTTTAATCTGGAATTTTGTCCATCATGCAGAAGTCAGAGCTGAAGCCAGCCAGAGATAGCTTTACACGATGGTTCAAGGTTAAGGCCTCTTGGCATTACATGACACAACCTCTAACAATCTCAACATTGTTATCTCTTGCTACTCCCGGCCTACATTCTTTCACTTATTCACCAAGCATTTGGGAGCCTCTATCTTCCAGGCCTTGTACTTGGCACTGGGGATACAATGATTAGCTTCCCTGGAGTTTAAGTTCATGGAGGATATGGACATTAACCAGAGAATCACATAAACCAATCCAAACATGAGAACATTTGAAGGAGAGAAGGCCTAGTCAGAGTCCCAGGAAGGCTGCCCTGAGGAATGTAGAGGGAGAATGGAGGCAGGGGAGGGGCTGTGGGAGCTTTAGGGTAGAGCACACAGCAAGTGCAAAGGTCCTGGGGTGGTCTACACACTGTGGTTTAGTATTAGTAATGTGTGGTACTTGTCTATTCCAGGGCTGGGCCTTTACAAGCCCTCAGAAGTGTTTGTTCTGTGTGTTGAACTGAACTGAGTGTTCTCACAGTGCAGGTCCATGGCCTCAGCAGCAGCAGAACAGTGATCAACCTGTGGCACGCTGGTGGCAGTCAACGCTGCTTGTTTCTCTGAGTTGTTTTCTTTTGTTTTATTTCTGTTTCTGAAAGCAATCCCTTCCTAGAGCCTGACCTAGAGATTCTGTAACTATAAGAGGACATATGTATCTGCCAATCTCTTGACATCAAGTACAGCATTTTATAAGACTTGCTTTCATATTCCTTTCAGTCAAGTCTTTAAAAGATTTGTATTACATATTTCAGCATGCGAATAAGTCATACTTGCTTTTTGTCTTTTCTGTTTTAAGGTTATGTTTATACTCACAATATGGCAAAACCTCTTCAGCATTCAGTAGTTGGTTTTATATTATGAAATACTATGTAGGCAAGTAATATGCCAAACCCAGTGATAGACAGTTGTTTGCTTTGTTTGCTGGTTGTTTATTTCTTCTTCAGTTTGAATGTTTATTGTTATTTAACCTTGTACATGTTCAGAGGTACAAAATAATGATCCTTGGTTTCCAGGAAAGAAGAGGGGGTTTAGAGGAAAACACTGCTTAGTACAAAATGGTTTGCTATATTAATTCATAAACTGCCATGAGGTTAGACGAGATTTGAAACCTTTTGAAGCCCATTTCTATTAAAACTTAAAATGCTTTTTCACTAATGTTAAAAATTACCCCTTTATGTTACCACCAGAAATTTAATGAAGTCAGAAGACAGCTCCAATCAACTCAGAAGACAGTTCTGAGTCGGACGGGGGAAACAGAGATATGTTCTATAAGAGCTAATTCTGGTTGGCTCCTTGTGACATTAGGAAGCAAAACCCAATCTCTTAACCTGGACTCTTGTCATCTTCCCAGTGACCATCCCTCTCACTGCTGGAGAGGGAAAGGCAGGGAAATGCTAGAGGCCCCGTGTGGATTAATTTGGGGGAAATATTGAAATATTTTCCAAACAATTTGATTATTTAACATCGACTACTATGTGCCAAATAAAGAAGACAGGTGAGCAGTTGTGATGTAAATGGAGAATAAAGGGTAAAATGATAATGACAACAACAAAAAAGAAATATTGATTCGGTCATTGCTTCCTCCTTCAAGGAATTAAAAAATACAAGTAAAAGTACTGATTTATTTCAAGATTAATTTTGCTCACTGGACTCTTCTTTTGATCCCGGCCTACTTCTTAGACTGGACTGTGTGAACCTTAGCTTTAGAGCTGCTCTTTATGCATTGTTACGTTTCATACTCTTAATAACCATGTGAACTAGAAAATATTACTTCTGTTTTTTTTTAATATAAGAAAACAGTATTAGAGAAGTGAAATAACTTGCCCTGGGTAACAGAGCTAGTAGGTGGCAGAGATAAGAACTGAACCCAAGCCTGTCTGACACCAAAGATTATATTCAATCCACTCTGGTAGCCTTAAAGTGTAGTTAAGCTTTATGGTTTATCACAGGCTATTGAATATAGTTCATTGTACTGTATAGTAGGACCTTGTTGTCTATCCATTATACATAATAGTTTGCATCTGCTAGTCTCAAACTCCCAATCCACCCCTTCCCCACTGCCCCTCCCCATTGGCACCCACAAGTCTATTCTCTATGCCTGTGAGTCTGTTTCTGTTTTGTAGATAAGTTCATTTGCATTCAATATCCTGTGATACACCATAATGGAAAAAGAATACAAAAAAGAATGCATATTTATGTATAACTGAATCACTTTGCTGTATAGTAGAAATTAACACAACATTGTAAAACAACTATACTTCAATAAAATAAAAATTTTTTTAAATTAAAAAAAAGGGGGTTTCCCTGGTGGCACAGTGGTTGAGAGTCCGCCTGCCGATGCAGGGGACGTGTGTTTGTACCCCGGTCCGGTAAGATCCCACATGCCGCGGAGCGGCTAGGCCCATGAGCCATGGCCACTGAGCCTGCGCGTCCGGAGCCTGCGCTCCGCAACGGGAGAGGCCGCAGCAGTGAGAGGCCCGCGTACCGAAAAACAAAAAAAAAGTATAGTTAGCCTTGTTAACAGCATGGAAGGAAACGCCAGAGAGCCCAAGGCAGATTAATTGGGGGGAAATCTTTGAGAACCAAGGTTTAGCCATGGAAGAGCTCAGTCATGGTCCCTAACACACAACCACTCAAAACAGAAGGCCTTTATATCCTCTGCTTTTCTCCTCTCTCCTCTCTCCCATCATCACCTCTTAGTTTCCTGTCATGAGACTAGCCAGTCTTTGGGCTGTGACCAGGTACCTTTTTCTTCAGGGAGCCTTCTTCTGCTCTTTCTAGAACCCTTCCCTTGTTAATCACTTTCTTCTTTGTACTTTAGAAAATATCCTTACCTCACCCCCAAATGTTTATGGAGTTATCAATACTTATTGAGAACCATGTGTTATCACTGTTCTAGGCAATGGAGAGACATCAGTAGGCAAATCAGACCAAAAAATCCTGCCCTCATGGGATTTACTTTCTTGTGGGGAAAAGCCAGACAAGTCAATTATACAAGATGTTAAAAGACACTAAGGAGAAAAATAAAACAGGGAAAGAGGACAGGAAGTGAGATAGAGGGTGTTACAGTTTAAAATGAGTTGGTCATGGAAAGCCCCACATTGAGAAGGTGACATTTGAACAAAGACTGGGAGAAGATGAGGTGTGAGCCATGTGGATTTTGGGGGGAAGAGTTTCCAGGCAGAGGGAATGAGTGAAAAGGCCCTGAGGTGGGAGCACCCGGGTCATGTTAGAGGAACAGCAAAGAGGCCAATTTGGGTGAAGCCCAGTGAGCAAGGGGGAGAGTAGAGTAGTGGGAATATAATAAATTGGATATAACATGGGACCTTTCAGGCCAACTTTATATATATCTGCTTTTTCTCACTGCCCACTTTCCTCCTCCACTCATAAGATCATGGGAGTTTCATTTACAACCGAATCCATCTCAAGTAGAAGTAGATACATAATTCTAGTTTTTTTTATTAAAACACACACACACACACACACACACACACACACACAAACACACACACAAACACACACACACCAAACAATTTAAACAAAGACAGACTGGTTAATTTCTCAACCACTTTATTTCCTACCTTGGGTTCCTACCATGTTCCCAAAGGGATTTAACGGAACTAATAATAAAACGTAACATTTTGACACTATGAACCGGGTACTATACTACCTGGTGTTTTACATGCCGAGTGTCCTCTGTTGCTTTTAATAACGCATTAAGGAAGGCAGTACCCATGCTAACACTCTTCCTTTTCTTCTTTCTCTTGTCTTTCTGCATTTTCTTCAAGCATCCTCACCTTGGCCATGTTTTTAGAACTCTGTTTATTACCTGTCAATCCACCACACCATTGCCAAGAACTACAGCTTTCTGTGGACCATCTCAGTGGGTAAACCATCACCTCATCATGTTTGCTTCATTTTCAATGAATTTATTTTATTTTACTTACAAATTTTTAAAATAAAATTGTATATGTGTACACATGATGATTTGATAGACATATACATAGTGAAGTTATTACTATACTCAGCCTGTTAACATGTTGTCTCTTTTCACATGGTTACTTTTGTGTGTGTGTGTGATGAGAGCATGTGAAATCTACTCTTAGCAAATTCCCAATATTCAATACAGTATTATTAACTATAGTCATCATGCTATACATTTGATCTCTAGACTTACTAATCCTACTTAACTCCAACTTTGTACACTTTGACCAGTATTTCCTCTACCTCCCCAGCCCTGGTAACTACCGTTCTACTCTTCGCTTCCATGTATTTGACTCTTTTTAGATTTCACATATAAGTGAGATCATGTAGGTCCTTTTCTGTGTCTACCTTATTTCACTTAGCATAATGTCCGCAACGTTCATCCATGTTGTTGCATATCGTAGGATCTCCTTTTTTAAGGTCGAATAATATATATATATATATATATATACATATACATACATACATATATATATACACACACACACATACATAAATATATATTTTTTATCAATGGGAACTTAGGCTGTTTCCATATCTTGGCTACTGTGAATAGTACAGTGAATATGGGAGCACAGATATCCCTTAGAGGTGGCTTTCATTTCATTTCTGTATATACCAAAAAGTGAGGTTGCTGGATCAAATCATAGTTCTACATTTAAATTTTTGAGGAACTTCGAAAACCATTTTCCATGTTTTTCATACTGTTTTCTATTAAAGGCTACATCAATTTACACTCCCATCAACAGTGTACAAGGGTTCTCTTTTCTCCATATCCTTGCCAACACTTATCTTTAATTTTTTGGGTGATAGCCATTCTAACAGGTGTGAGGTGATATTTCACTGTGGTTTTGATTTGCATTTCCCTAATGATTACTGATGTTGAGCACCTTTACATATACCTTTTGGCCATTTGTATGTCTTCTTTGGAAAAATGTCTGTTCAGGTCTTTTGTCCACTTTTTAGCAGGTGGTTTCTTGTTTTTTGCTATTGAATTGAATAAATTCCTTATATATTTTGGATATTAACCCCTTATCAGATATATGATTTGCAAATATTTTCTCCCATAGATTGTTTTGTATTTTGTTGATTGTTTCCTTTGCTGTGCAGAAATTTTTTCTTAGTTTGATGTAGTCCACTTGTTTATTTTTGCTGTTGTTGCCTGAACTTTTGGTGTCATAACAAAAAAGTCATTGCTGAGGCCAATTGATGTCAAGGAGCTTTCTCCCTATGTTTTCTTCTAGGAGTTTTACAGTTTCGGGTCTTATATTTAAAATTTTAATCTATTTTGAGGTGATTTTTGTGTATGGTATAAGAAAAGGGTTCAATTTCATTCTTTTGCATGTGGATATCCAGTTTCCTAAGCACCATTTATTGAAGAGACTATCCTTTCTCAGTGTGCATTCTTGGTGCCTTTGTTGAAAATTAGTTGACCATATTTGCTTGGGTTTATTTCTGGGTTCTCTATTCTGTTCCGTTGGCCTACATGTCTGTTTATGCATGTACCATACTATTTTGATTACTACATCTTTGTAGTGTAGTGAGAAATCAGGAAGTGTGGTACCTTCAACTCTGTTCTTCTTTCTCAACATTGCTTTGGCTATTTGGTGTCCTTTGTGAATACGAATTTTAGGGTTGTTTTTTCTGTTTCTGTGAAAAATGCCATTGGAATTTTGATAGGGACTGACTGAATTGAATCTGTATATTGCTTTGAGTAGTGTGGACAATTTAACAATATTAATTATTCCAATCCATGAACATTGGATGTCTTTTCACATGTTTGCATGTCTTACAATTTCTTTCATCAATGTTTTATATTTTTCAGTGTACAGATATTTCACTTTCTTGCTCAGATTTATCCCTCAGTATTTTACTCTTTTTTGATGCTATTGTGAATGAGGTTGTTTTCTTAATTTCTTTTTTGTTGTTGCTGGTGTCACTGAATTTCTTTTAATTTTAACGGATAATGCAGAGCAGAATTTTCAAATGGGACTCTTTGTACCTCCATTTTAGGTCAGGTCCCAAAGGCTAAGAATGATATTACAGGGCAAGTCATCCTCACTTCTAAAGTAGAATTTTAGACCACCTATGAAGGACATGTGAAGATAGAGTAGAATGGGTTCATCAGTTCTGGTCCATCATCCACCTCAAGGCTATGTAAGGGGATGAAAGCAGCCCTGGTGAGGATTTCTTTGGAGAGAGTTGGGGTGCTGTGAATCAAGTCCCTTTTCATGGACGAGGGAAAGAAGAATATGCTCCCTTACCTTAGTCCAAATGAAGTGCGGGTTCCAGACATCACTCAGATCTCTTGACCTGTGTGTACTGGAGTTTAGGACAAAGGGAATTAGTGCCCTACTCAGGCTAAAGAGGCTACATTGGGAGCCTATGCTTAAGTAGCAGTGCTAAATGTGCATAGAGAAGAGAGATATGGCCATACTGGGGAAAAAGAGCACTTCCCCAAACAGGAGGCCAAGGTACATGTTTTCCCAGACAAAACAGAATGCCACAAAAAGAAATCTCACCCAGGAAAAAATACTGAGAGGAACAAAAAAGCTCCCAAGCTGACAAAGCCCCAGAAGCTAACAGGCAGGGAGGGGAGGAACGCAGGAGACCGAGAGAGAAGCATGGCCCATCAAGGGGACAGGTCAGTCACAGATTTCTGAAATCTGCCAAAGTGCCCCATGAGGTCAAGATGGCAATTTTTATTTTCCCCAGCCTTAGGGCACCTAAGTCAGATTACAGTCAGCCTGACAAGGAAGGACTTTCCTTACCTACCCCTCCTCTCTTTTCCCCATTTCATGATCTCCAAAGAGACAGTCAAGCCAACAACTAGGACTGGAGAACAGGATGGAGCCAGGAAATCTCAAAGACATCTCCCATGTCTGTCCCTTACCCACCCCCCCACCCCCACCCCGAGACATAAAAGACAC